TTTTTCATTTTATAAGAGTCTTTGCTTCTAGGAATTTTTTTCATTAAAGATGAAGCTGAAGTTCAATGAGGAGAAGAGTTGAGAGCATTTTAATTTTTTTTCTCCTATTTTCAATTTGATTTTAAATTGTCGGTGTTCGGTGTTCGAAATTAAAAGCTATATATATGGTTAAAATTGAAGAGTTTGCAAAGATAATCACTTCAAGATTATTTTTTCTATACTATTATAAAAGGTATACTATGTTCGAAATTAAAGCTATATATATGGTTAAAATTGAATTGTTGCAAGATAAACACTTCAACATTAGTTTTTCTACACTATTATAAAAGGAGGAATGATTTTGTAAAAATATGTAAGGATATAGTAATGATTAAATATCCCAATAAAATAATATTAACTTACCTAAGAAAATAAAATTCTTCTAACCATATATATGCCTTCTAAGTTCTAGCCTTGTGAAATATTCTTTCACTTAAAACTAGAACAAGATTAACTTAATCAAGAAAACTAAAATTCTTCTAATCGTGTATTCTTTCTAACTTGTAAATGTCATTTTTTTCCACATCATATATGCAACATTATTTCCTTATATATTTTTATAAGATTCAAAGTATATTGGAAAGGTAAACCTCCATCCAATGTTGCGTCGTCCATGAAAACACTCTAATATTCTGAAAATAAACATGAAATTATCAATGTATATGAATCCATCTAAATAATAAATAAGTCAAAAAATATAAAAGTGCAAATAAATTAAGTGTATAAAAATACAGCACACCATTATTAAATATATAAAATGTGTACATTTTTTAACCTATCATATATATTATTCAATACTACTAACTGATTTATCATGGTGTTAAACGATCTTTTAAGTTTAATGTTTGATTTATAGTTGTAAACAACATAAGTATTCGGGTTCAGGCTAGAGCTTTTTAATATTTATTAATAGCATTACAAAATATATCTTATGAGAGAAAAAAATATAATACCATGCACAAGTAAAACTACCGAGGTCAATATAAAATATAATTAAGTAAAAATCGTAATTTATATATAAATGAAAAAGAAATGATTATTTGAAATGTCATATTTAATATTAAATAATAGTATCTAAAAAGATAATATTTTACTACAATAAAATTTCAGTAATACGCAATAGATTGGAAAAGTGAAAAACATTTTTATAAAACATACTATAGAATGTATGACTTTCATTATACAAAACAATAAATATTAAAAACTATAGTAAATGAGAAATAAATATTTATACATTGTGATTGGGATCAATCTAGAACATTGAAAATATTAGTTTACATTTGAAAATTGAAGTTATTATGATATATATTTCTAATGGTAAAATTGTAATCATAAATTAATTCTAACCAAAAAATAACTAAAAATAGACTAATCATTTCTTTTCTTTTCTTTTTTTAATTCTGTGTAGTTGTTCATAAAGTTTTACCACATAATTGTAAAAATATTAATTTATTAGGCACAGTTGTGCTGAAGACGCATAATTTACCCCTTATTTTGTAGAAAGTGTGAGTTTAGCAGAAAAAGTTTTAAAAAAGTATGTGTAGTTTTTCCGTTTTTAAAATAATAACCACAAAAGTCATAAAGTTGGTTCTCAAACATTAAATACATCTGAAAACTAATTTTATTTTATTTTATTTTTTGTTAAAAGTATTATATCTATTAGTAATGATTCACAAATATTGTATATTTAAAACATAATATGGAAGAATAGGAAAATAAAAATATAACGAAAAGGACAAAAAAAATATACATAGAATAAGATCTATCTCGATCAAAAATTATTTCGTGCGAATTTGCTGATATTGATGTTTAAGGTGAAAAAAGGTTAGGGGTTGTCAAAGCAATTATAAGCCGGAGAGGCGGAGAACATGGTTGAAAATTCGATTGGAAGAAAGAAAATATTGAAAAAAGATTGTGGAAATATTTGATGATTTTGACAACGAACGATGATAACATATTCATTTGTCAGAATGGTATCAAGAAGGTGATGGATCCAATTTAGATGTTGATGACAATTAAGCAATAATAAAAATGGGAGAAACAATCAAAGAAAGTGCAAAAATGAAAAAGTTAGTCAACATAGCGAGGGTAGACATGGAGCTATAAGCATTTGATAATTATAATCCAAATAAAGTTGATTTTTTTTTTTTGGGTAAAAACTGTTCGATTTGCGCATGGGAATTAAAGACAACAAATAATAAGGAAAGGTCGTAAAAGAAATTGGTGGCCGTTGAATGGACCAAAAGACAATGTCGTCGAGTAAATTGATTGAGATATTTCACTATAAAGGATGAGAAAGTTAGTAGAGGTGTTGGATTATAGATCTAATGGTCAATAATGTGTTGCACAAACTCTATGACCTATAAATGGAAGACCTTCTCGACATGAAACTGGGGCTAAATTTTACAGGTAAGCTATGAAAGATGTTATGCAGATGGTCGATGCGTAATGTCCAAAAAAAAATAGAACTCTGTTAAAA